ATTCCTCATTGGCGTCACCCCCATCTCCACCTCCTTCCGAACTCTCCGTCTTCGGCTTAGTGCCGTGGCCGAGAAACCGTTGCATGAGTTCTATAGGTCGTTGTTAGAGATTCTCCGATTTCATTACTACTCCTCATCAGTCTTACCGGTTTGGCTTGTACCCTCCTTTCCCTTGTCACCTGTGTCTACCATACCAAATCATCATCCACTGCTAACAAATCATCAATTATAGATGCTTGCCTGTTCCGTGCTTATGGTGCTTATGGTGCTTATGGTGCTTGTGGTGGGGGTGTCCACCATCTTCTTTGTTTCCCTCTCCATGCTTGCCTTCCACTGCACCCTCCTCATTCTCCTCATTCTCGGATGTCTCGGATTCCTCATTGGCGTCACCCCCATCTCCACCTCCTTCCGAACTCTCCGTCTTCGGCTTAGTGCCGTGGCCGAGAAACCGTTGCATGAGTTCTATAGGTCGTTGTTAGAGATTCTCCGATTTCATTACCACGCCTCATCAGTCTTACCGGTTTGGCTTGTACCCTCCTTTTCCTTGTCACCTGTGTCTACCATACCAAATCATCATCTACCGCTAACAAATCATCAATTATAGCTTCTTGCCTTTGTCGCTCTGAGATTGCCTCCAGAGATTGCCGACTGCTTCGTTTGTTCCTTTGTTTCCTTGCCCGCCATCGATGGGTTCTTCATTCTCGTCGGCGTCCGAAATATCTGCCCCGTAGCTCGTTGCAAATACGCGTCTGCCGCTTTTCTCAAGATATCGCTCTCCCTCTTGGCCTGAGTGAGTGTTATCGTACACATTCGTTGTACTTCCGAGAAAAGGTATGGAATCGAATGTTTTGTCACTTGATTCTTGTGAGGCTGTCATCGCAGACGAACGAATGAAATCTTTCTGCTGCTCTTTACCCCCGAATGGTTGTTCTATAGCGCTTTCCAAATCGTGAAGTGCCTTCACAGGGCCACTTTCTGGACCATCTTTTGGGTGTTCTTCCTCGGTCTCTTGCGTAGACGTGCTAGGCCCTTCGGTCAGGTCATTGCTGTCATTTGTGGTTTCATCATCAGGAGGAGTATGGCCTTTGGCTTTCTTTGCCTTCTTTTTCCTTTTCCTTTTCTCAGTCTCCTCCAGTACCACGTCCTCTCCCATAATTTCCTCCGCAGTTTCCATTTCATGAGGTCGAATCGTCCTTTCAGAGCTCTCTGAGTATTCCGGGGATCTAGCTACATCGGCATCCGAAGTTTTCATTGAATTGGTGAGAGCAGATTCTCCCTTCACAAGTTTAGCCAAATAATCAGCGGGATTGAGAGAAGATCGCAATGAAAACCCCAATAGTGGATATCGCATTAGTGCCGTAGCCTCCTCCCGTGATTTATCCTTGTTGCCCTGCTGCTGGAGTCGAGCCCCCTTGATTTCCTGTTGTGGGCTAGGATAGAGACGGTTTGCTCATATTAGCCATTATAGAACTCACTTGCACTTTAGCCTCAGCATTCCTCAGAAGTCGGTTTTCTTCTTCGAGATCCGCCTGGGGAAAAAGTACACCGGTGCATGAGGGGGATTGGATCCTATAACCTTACCCTTGCAGTTGACTCAGCTTCCTCAAGCATATCTTGCTCTCGCTGCATTTGCGCGAGCTCAGCCACCTCACCCTCCTAGTACACAGTTTATAGCGTGCAGTCCGTCTACAGAAGTTCAATATGTCGAACCTCAATGTTTTGCATGGTTTTGCTGTGTTGAGTTTGCTCTTTTTCCTTAATATCCTCGATTTTTTGTGCATGACGCTCCCGAAGTGCTGCCTCATCCTCAAGCTCTTCTGATTGCAGGGCATTTTAAATTCTAGCAAGCGGGAAGCACATCTTTGTGGAGATCCGTGCCTTACTTGCTTCCTCAACCATGAGTTCGTTTGCATTCATCGTCTCCGTATCTCCTGTTTGGGCATTTACATGCTGATTTCTTTCCACCGCGCTTTCTGATTCTCCTGATACGCAATCTAAGGCGTCTATAGCGCTTTGGATTGGCGCTTCACTTGCAACTTGCAAATGAAGGTCGTTAGGAACATTTGGCTCGGCATTTTGTAATTCACGATGTGATGCTCCTCCATGGAACATAAAAACAGCCATTAAAAGCCCTTCGATCTGGATAGCATGGAGAAACATCATTTTTACGAAGATGAATGGCCACCTTTAGAATCGGTATTTACTCTGATGACTGCTGTCACCCAGGGAATGCGCACTGACGATTAGCAGTGTCACTACAGCTCTGCAGTGTACGAAACATGCGAAACCAAGATTATTTTTGATTGGGATGGAGCGTTACTCATGTATCTTCAACAGGGCAGAGAATTAGATTTTGCGCGGCTGTAAACTTTGTGGTGGTACGTGCTGACGGCTGAGCGACACCAAGCGCACTTCAAACGTGAACTGCGCGCAGTATGAAGCATTGATTAGGTAAACAAGTGGGCTTGATATTACAGCGCAGTAGCATAATCCTTTTGAGGATAGCATCGTGCCAGACATGAATATCCTCCAAGTGTTCAGACTGGCACATGGGTTTCAAGTAGGGATCACTTTTTGTAACACTCCACCTTGTGCTAAAAATGGCTCACTGCCTGTCATGCCAATTTATATTTTTGTTGTAGTCCCCACGGAAGTCTGAGACTCAGTAGCAGTTCGTCCCACGAGAGGCTGAGCTTCCTCAAGCGAACTTGCATACAGTGATTCAAAAGAGCTCCATTAGCTCGTTAAACGCTGGTCCTCCCGTTAAGCATTCGTTAGATCTGTTTTAAAGCTTCATGAAACAAACTACTAATGATGCGAATGATCAAACCAGACAACTGCTTCATAAAGGCGCGATGCGTACTAGCGTTGTGGAGAGCATGGATTCGCTCTGACCATACTCTCCGTCGATTGACGTACTGGAGGGAATTGACCATACATATCATGTACTCCAGAATTATTTAATCTATCTGAATCTATGCAGGTGAACTACGCCTATCGGCAAGGGATTCTTCGGCGCGAGTAAACTGCCTGGCTGCGTACTCAAAGCTTGCACGAAGTTTCGTGCGTACGCCTGGCTCTCAAATACACACACCCAAAGAAGCCATGTCATTTTAAACTGTTCAATAAAGGATAGAAACCCACTTCAATCTATGTTAGCATCTAACAACTGCAACGGTATCAGGTTGGGTTTTCAGGCGACTCAGTTGCTGCGCAAGTCGCTGAGTGGGTATATACCCTATAAGTTTGAACTGAGCAGGTAGTAAATATGCCCGGTATGCGTCGTCATAAGGCCTTTCTGGCCATTGTGGCTACCGCCGTAATTGCACACAGTCTGGTATATGCCTGCTTGGGCACACCGTCAGGAGAAATTGCCCGTCCAGCGGTGGATAGTCCCGATAAACGGAACGCTGATGCTGGAGCAGCTACATCAGGAAAACTACAGGGGCATGCTCCGAGTGTATCCGTTTTGCCGGAAGGTAAGAACCCAGCATATCAGGTTGCCGCGCTACTTCACGACAGCGAGAGCGAAGCCTCTGCGGGCTTCGAAGCAGTCAGTAGCAAGACTCAGCCTCAGACCAGCCTTAATGACTATACTCCATCTCCGCCGACAGTGCGCTTGGGTGCTGCCAAGGAGGCACATAAGGAAGTAGATTTCCCCCAGATATCCTTGCAGTATGGGGTTCGCCGCCGTCTGGAAGGACGCCTACCTAATGGTAAGGACATCCAGGAGCTCCTCTCTGAGCACACCTTTCCACATAGTGGTGTGTCCAGTCGACGCCTGCAACTCCTCTCTGGGCTGTCTCAGCTTACAGCGCCTTTATCCACGGTAACCAATTTATTCAGCAGCGGCATGAGCGCTCGTGAAAAGGACCAGCTTGATTCCTTCACCACGTGGGTCAGTACCAGCAAAGAGCGTCTATACAAAGACATGGTCTTTATCACGGGGGCGAAAAAGCATGGGATGGATGAGTTTGCAATGAAACAGCTTATTAAAAAGGTAGGCCTGGAGAGCTTTTCCACCGGTGAAATTCCCTCCAATGTCAGTCTTACTCATCAGGAGTCCCTTGTGCTGGATGCAGCCAGGCGAAGTCGCTTTCAGGTGGATATGATCATTACCACGTATGAGCGGGAGGTGGCACAGCATGTAAAAAAGTTCCGCCAAGGGCTGCAGGGTGGCATGACCCAAACTCTTAGGAGCGCAGTTACTTCTGTCGCCTCAAACGGCCTGTTCAAGCACCAGCGGGAGATCCCCACTGTGCGCCGCCTCGAGAAGACCCCTCGTCTTAGGCGTCTTGCCCCCCTGGTGGGCAGCTCTGGCCTTCTCGGTGCCGCAGGTTCCCTCTTCCGTTCTCTCGACCCTTCAAACCTTTCGCACTCTCTTAGTGCTGGCCTCGGCGGCCTGGGACTCCACCACTTGCATCTTCCGAATATCGGCGGGCTGAACGTGCGCGATGATGGCGCCATGCCGACTCTGCCTCCCTTGGCTGACATAGGCGCCCTGCAGGAGGCTCTCCAGAACATATTCCCAGGACCTCAACAGGCAAATGCTCTTTCTGGACCCCTGCGTTCATTCCAGCAGGGCGTATCGATCGCGACAGATGGAGCAGTAGGAGCTTTCCTTTCAAGGGAGGGGCTACTTCCGTTCCTTTCTGTTGACACCGCCAAGCACCTCCTTGGCGGCTTCATTGGCGGGGAAGCAATTGCACCCCACGGGGTGTCAGGATGGGGTGACCTCGGACTGTCTCCTGCAGCAGCCAGCGGGCTTGCTGCTGCCATGCCGTTCGAAACATTCCTTACCAAATTAGGTGAGCTGGCTCAGGAAGTCGACTCGGAGGTGGGGGCCATGAAGCGAGAAACCAAGAGAAGGATTAACGCCGAGGGTCTTCACATCCTCCCAGAGCAGCTAGGCCAAGTGGACAACATTCTTAACACAATCGTCTGGGGTGCCCTTAGACCTCCCGTCAGAAGGCTGCAGCAAAACGAGAGTGCAGAAAGCGAATCACTATCGCAAGATGCAGAAGGCCCGAAGCAGAGTGTGGATCTTCAACAAGAGGCAACGATAGGCGCACAGCAACAAATTGGCCACACACAACAGGAAGACGAGAAAGGACAGCCGCCAACTACAGAATCGCCACAGCCTTCGGAAATATCGCCTACACCACAGCGGGAAAAGGAGAAACAGGGAGACGATGAGGCATTCAGCAGCATGATGGACGCGCTCCTTCAGGATGTACACTTGGAAAATACGCAGGACGACGCCGAGGAGGAAATACAAGCAGGCTTACAACGAATTGAACTCTTGGCCGACGCAGTCACCGTACTGCTCAAGGAGTATGAAAAGGCCGTGGAGCACTTGCAGGAACTGTTGGAAGACCAAATAGACACTGCGGAAGAAATTCGAGAAGAGCTTCATGACGAGGTTAAGGATCTTCGGGAGAAGGTTCATGAAAAGAAGGCGACACATCCCCGAGCAGCAACTGCAGCTGCGGAGGTCGCTAAGGCTTACGATGAGGCCGTCGAAGGCCTAAAGGAGACCCTAGAAGGTCTGCTGCAGCAGCAGCCAACAACAGAGCTACCTGCTGTATTGCAGCAGCCGATAGCAGCTCTAGCAGCTAAGATTGAAGCGGCTGTAGATGAGAAAAAGCCGTCGCCACTGGCGGCTCACTGAGAGTCCTTGAAGAGTCTTCATGGTGTGGAAGCATGCGCGTCCAGTACAATCTTTTCTTTCTGTGAACCAGTTTAAAGTTGAAGCAGGAATGAGTCATTCAGTGGCAAAGTTCCTGCTGCGGGCTCCCGTAAAAGAAGGGCCCCCGTATACTGCTGCCCCTGTAGACAGTGTCAGGTTGAAGCAAGCAGGGAGCAGCCAGATCCTCCCCTTGCCTTCGGTTACTCAGCGCGCAAAGCATTTGTGTTTCTTTGGTCTGTCTGACTGAGTGCCGACTAATTTAGCATTGGACTCTGCGGACAGCAGCCGCAAAGAACGGTAATCTAAAGGGGCTTTCTTGAGCCACGAGACGGCAGTACTTTCGCTCCAACGGGGAGCATTGCATCAGGTTGATCTGAGCACTGACTCGACCCGTCCCACAACCGGCCTCCTCCCTACTTGCATTTTTACGTTCGCCACTAGTTCTCTCTAGCCATGCACTACTGACGACAACTATAGACAGCTGCAGTTCGCTAGCGCAGCCACGCCGCAGTCGGCCATTGTCTACATGTCGGAGGTTGGTCTCTTGCTACTGAGAGCTGCCTCAGGCCTTAATTAAAGCCTTCAGCGGGGGGAGGGGGGCGTCGGCTCCGGCAGAATCTAGAGCCGAAATGACAACTACAGCCCAAACCAATTGCTCCTTTTCCTGCTGTTTCTGCCGGTTTTGTTCCTGCTGCCCCTTGCTGCGTCCCTTCATGCTAATTACCTGCTGCAATGCCTCACTGAGCAGCGTCTTGGGGTCAGGCAACGGCAGCAGCTGGGGTTGCGGCTGGGTGTCAAACAGCTCCGCGATTTGCGGCGTCAGTGTACCGTAGTGCTGCTTCAGTGCGCTGCCCTCCTCAAGGGCCGAATAAAGAAGGGTGTCCTCGCAAGTCAGAGACTGCACGCGAACCCCCGCATCTGTCTCTATGAGACGCACCAGTTCAGCGATCGTCAGTGCGCTTGCTGCCTCCGTTTCTCCCACAACTGCTCCTACATCCACTCCGTTTGACACGTTGCTTCTTGTGCTCTCTTCCGTGCTTCCGCGAAGACGCAAGCGAAAAAAGTTCCACGGAGACAGAGGCTGCCCCCCCCAGCGGCCTCCACGAAAGCGGAGGGTTGGCGGGCGTAGGGGGGGCGCCTCTGCAAGAAACGGCACTGAGAGAGAAAAGAAGCTGCTGCGCAAGTGCTGTTGCTGCTGCTTTCGGGCAGCACGCCTGGCGTGGGGACTGCCTCTGTCTAGCCACAACACGGGCATGCGCCTTTGTGCTCGCTGCGTTCGCTCTCGTGGCGGCTGCTGCTGCTTTCGTTCCTGACTGCCGTGCGACCCTGCAAGGCGTAGGGCTGCCAGCCGGTATACCTCTAGACAAGCCAGTGCAGCAGCCAGAGTGGTAGCTGTCGCAGTTGCGGGAACTATCCGACCAAGCAGCTGCTGCGTCTCCTCGGGGTCCGGAAGCGGCGACAGCCCAAAGGCTCTGCAGCGCAGCCGCGCGGCTGCCGTTAGAAAACGAAGAGGCACAGCCTCATCCGCGGAGAGCGACGGCAGTCCAGGAGGCCTTAGGGGGGGGGAGTCTGGCCTCTTTGCCGCTGCTGATACTGCTCGTGTCAGTGCCTCGGCTGCCGAGTAGAGATCTGCAATTCCTCTTGCTGCTTTTCCTGATGCGAGGGTAGTTCCGACTGTCGCTCCAGCTGTGCGTTCGTGACGCGCTTGTAGCAGTTGCTTCAGAGCGTTGGAAACGGACTGCCGGCTCCAAGGCCCCACTCCACCGCCCCGGAGAAGCAACTCTTCTGCCTGCTGCTGCCTCAAAGCAGCCGCAGCAGCTTCTGCAGAAGCGCTGGCAGCAACACCCCCAGGCAGTGCAGCCTGCTCGAGGTGCAGGGCAGTCGCCAGCAGCTGCCCGGCAGCGGCAATAAAGTCAAGTACGTCTGTGTCGGTGGGGTCGGCGGAGAGCGGTTGCTGCTTTTGAGACGAACTCGCCTCGCGAGCTCCCCACGCGTCCTCTACAGTGGAAGGCGAGCCATGTAAGTCCCCCTGCTGCTGACCTCCGTTGTCAAACAGTACGTCAAAAAGGGAAAGCGCCCAAGACACCAGCAGCAGATGTGCGGGAGAAAGGGGAACAACCCCGGCCCCTAACCGGCATCGATGTTGCTGCGACTGCCCCTGCTGCCACTTCGGATGCTGGAGCTGTCCATGACAGCCCTCCAAGACTTCTTCCTGTCTCCTTGTGTGAGCCGTCAGTAGTTCGAGTGCCAGCTGCAACAGCTGTCGCAGACGCCGCGAGCCGGCAGCAGCGGCAGCGACAGCCGCTGGTGCCCTGCCAAGAAGGCGCAGCGCCTTCTGTGTTTCCGAGCATTCGATCTTCGTGGTAATTACCGCGTCGCTCGACGCTTCTGACGCGTCCGGCGAAGCCGCAAACGGGGGGCCATCAAGAGCCGAGACTCCTTCGGGTCGGTCCACTGAGGGGTGCGTATGCTGCTCCACTAACTGCTGCAGCAGCAGATGAGCTGCTGCGAGGTCGCCTCGAAAGGTCTGATGCAACACAGCTGATGCCCAATGAACGGCGTGAAGAGGGGCGGTGGGGGTTCCTCTTACGGAGCAAAGCGGGACGGCTGCCAGGGAAGGAGCGCCAGCAGTCGCAGCTGCTGCGCCGTACGGCTCCGTCAAGTGGGGAACAAGGCTCTGGGAATGCCCTGAGTCGCACCGCATCCTCCCCCCCGCAACAGCATCAGCAGGCAGCAGCAAGCGCTACAGAGGAAGCAAAAATCCCACACCCAAGACCGCATCACCCCCTCGTGGAGGGAAGCAGCCACAGGCGGGTTAGCACAGCGTAGCGAGTAGGGGGTCGAGAAATGCACCGAACGCCTCGTCTGTAAGGCGTTTTGACGTACCTCTAAGGCCAAGCGTGCCGGCTTCTACCCAAGGCCTGGCGTGTAGCAAACAGAGGGCGTCCACGTACAGCCGCGCCTCCACCGAGTCAAGCGCAGCAACGATTAAGTCTTGCTGTTGAAAAAACATCGAGGGGAGTTTGCGCAGGGTCTCCGGCGTCAGCTGCAGTAGCCACCACCCACACGCGCAATCACAGGCATGCGCCGTCTTAGGAAATCGTTTGGAGGCGGCAGCTAAGAAAGCAGGCAGTGCGCGGGGGGTGACCCCGCCGAAAAGCCTTGTGTGGACCTCTGAGAACTGTCGGTGTAGCTCCTCTCGTCTGAGGCAGGGATGCGGCCAAGCGCCGAAAGCGACAGAGATTAGACGCTTCACATTCGAAGTCGCAACGAGCCCTTTAGCATGCGCTGGAGATTTACGGCAGTACGCCTCGACAGCAGGACGGCCACAGCGCCAGAGCCGTTGTAACGGCGAAACTGACCATCAAGGGGAAGGCCTGCAGCTGCATGCAGCTGGACAGCCGTGCAGCAGCTGCTGCCGCCGCAGATGCCTTGGGCTGTTGCAGCGAGGAAAAACTGAAGAGGACCTGTCTGCTCAGGTTCGACACTTCCACGACGTCGCCGTCCATCACAGACAGCAAGCCTCCAGGGCAGTGCTTGGCTTCACAGAGCCCGCCTGCTGCTGCTGCGCTCGTTCCACTTGCTCTAGCCGCTGCCTCAGATCCTGAGAGTTCTCGGCGTCGGCGCAAGTCACGGTAGGCCTTACGCAATGCGGCGATGAGGCCCCCTCTTGCGGAGCTGCTGCTCGTGGCGCTGCACCGGCTGTTGCAACTGTGGGAACGGGCAGTCGAGTTGCTATCCCTGGTGCCAGTCTTGCGGCCAGGGCACTGCGTGGAAATTCCCATGAGAGCGAAATTCTTGAGCACTTCACAGCCGATGGCTCCCGCACCCACAAGCAGCACGCGCATATGGTTCAGGTGTCTCTGCAGCTCCTCGCCTAAGAGCTGCTGCTGCCCTGCCCAGGGTGAAGGCAGCACAGTCGCGTCTATGGCAGCATCGTCCGCGCCGGCTGATGCAACTGGCGAGTCGGCTGGTGCTCCATGCTCAGCGAGTCCCTCAGTAGGCTTGGCAAAGAAGCACATCCTTAAACTCGTGCTAGTGCTGCTGCTAGAGCTGCTGCTAGTGCTGCTGCTAGAGCTGCTGCTAGTGCTGCTGCAAGAGCTGCTGCTAGTGCTGCTGCAAGAGCTGCTGCTAGTGCTGCTGCAAGAGCTGGTCCTGCTGCCGCCGTTTTCAGTGAGCGCTAGAAGGTCGAGAGCCTGCAGCACGAATGGCCGTTGCAGCGGCGGATATCTCCGTGTGAGGCCCTTGAGAGTCTCTTGGGCGGCGAAGGCGCCTGAGGCAGATCGCACCAAGGCTCACACGAAACTTTGCAGCAGCCCTACTATTTGAGAAGGAGCACCTGAAGTCAAAGAGTTCTGTTCCTTCAATTGAGCCCTTCCTCCCATACACTCTCAAGACACGGTAACAGCACAGCAGGAAATGGTGGATCTTACCCATCGCAGCCGCAATGGGGGCGAGATGGCCTCGTGAGCCTTTGGCCATGAGAACCGCTAGCTCTCCAGCCTTTGCTGCCCCTTCCGCAGTAGCTGCAGCGGCTGCCGAGTTGGCAGCAGAAGCAACAGCAGCGGAGGGCTGTTGTGCAGCTTCGGAAGGTCCAAATCGGCGAAGAAAGATAGCAGCAGCTCGCGCTGCAACTCGCGAAGTACTGGTAATACGGCTTGCGTTCCAGCTCCTTAGACTTCCAACATCGCTTGGAGCTTCAGGGCTCTCCAGATCCAGCGCCGCTTGTGCTCCTATACCGTCGGATACACGCTCAGCGTCGTTGTTCTCTGGTAGCGTTCCTGCCTCCTCGGCGTCCAAGGCTTCAAACGCAGCAGTGAGGCACTGCTGCTCTTCTCCAATTACTGCGCGCTCCGACTGTTGAGAAGCGCACAGGCCCTCTCCTTGGAGGCTCAGAGCCTCGCTGAGCGGTGGAAAAGATACGGACGTTGCCTCTGCGGCGTGTGGCTTTTGCAGCTGCTCGCGCTGCTGCTCTTGAGACTGTGCGTGCTTCTGCAAGAGCGCTGCAAGAGCCGCTTCCTCGTTGACTCCCGAGAAGCAAAAATCCCCAAAGTCTACGGCGATCCTGCCGGTAAGGCCGGCTGTACAGACAGCCACGACGAGAGGGCCTGCGCTCCGCTGCTGCCGATCGAGGCTACCCTGAGGGAGGCGCCGCTTGGAAATCCGCAATTCGCGCGCTAGCGAAGCGAAAAACAGTTTTTGTTGCAGCGGACGATCGCAGAGCAGCAGAACATCGACCTGTTCCAGCAATTGCAGCACGCGCATGCGCCAGGCAGGAGCAGCCTCGCCGGCCTGCTGCTGTAGAGACACCTCAGAAACCCGCGCATACGGAGCCGCAACACGGCGCAGCGCCCCACACGCAACTGCAGCGCGTGTCAGGGTATCCCGCTTGGGGGGCAGTTGCCCCTTGAGCGGCTCTCGTGGCAGCTCGGGATGTTTCGCGAGCTGGATGGCGGGTTCTTCGCTGCATTGGCTGGAGGCGGCTGTAGCGTCTGCGTCCAAAGGGAGTGCGGCGCTCTGTTTCTCGCACGCCGCTGCACTGTGCTCGGCGACAGCAAAATTCGCCGCTCTCTCGGCAGGACTGGGCGGCTCTGGGTCGGCTAGAAGAACGCGGCCTACACCCGACTGCAGCAAACACTTTGCAGCTTCTACTGCCGCTCCACCAGCTCCGATGAGGAGCACACAGGAATCTGGGAGGAGCGCCTGCTGCTCGGGGCCCCACACCAGCAGCTGTCTCGACAAGAAGGAGCGAAGCGACAGATCCTCCTCCCCTCCCCCCTGGGTTGCCAGCGTGCCGGAGTCTTCGGAAGTTGGGCAGCAGGCAACGACATCCGCGGAAGAGGTCGCTGCGCCAAGCGGCTCTCGTGAGATACCCCGTGAAGGGCCTCCTTCGCCTGCCTGTACTGGGCGAACGTCGTGGGACCTATCGATGATGGCTCGAAGGGCGGCTGTAGCTGCGGGAGCCAGCCTTTCCGCGCTCTCTCCTGCCTCCCCCGGAGGTGTCTTCTGACCTCCTTCCAGAGGGGGGGGCGGAAGCGCTGGGGCGAGGCACGAGCGCATCTGCAGCAGCGCGGCCGAGGGGAGCTGCCTCGAGGCACAGCGGCGGCTAGGGGGGAAGGAAAGCAGTGCGTCTCCGCTGCATCGCCGCGTCGAGACTGCCTCGAGTGCCCTCCCAAAGGGCAAATGCAGCGGGAGGAGCAACGCACAGAGCAGCACACATGAGCGCCACAAGTCTAGCATGGCGGCGGGAAGCCTTGTTTGGGAGCCTCATCCCCCCCGTCCGCGTAAACACCAGGTACGGCGTGGTTTGGAGCCTGTTGCTGCATGCGTTGGGGCTTTTAATGACGGGAATCCGCAATAACAGCCGCGCGGGAGGGGCTTGCTGGCGAGGCGTCCCTAGCCGCCGGAAGACTCGCACCACGACAAGAAGCCAGAGCGCGTTGCGAAGAAGCTCTCATGGACCTTCGCCGCTGAGTTTTTCTCAGCTCGCCAAAATAGAAATTCTCGGATCGAGACACCGCGGAGGAAGGCTGGGAGGTCGAAAACCAGCGCCGCTCACGCTTCGGGGAGTGACGACGACTGCAGTGGGGCCTCTCGTGCTCGCCCGCGTATGTGCCGGCTCGCAGTGGCGACGCTTGCGCAAGCGGCAACAGCCCCCGACCAGAAGAAAAACGGCGAAACAAACCGAAATAACAGCCGAATCGGCGGCTGTACGCTCCGCAACAGCACGCCATCCGCCTCACCCGCCTCCCCCAAGTCTCGGAAGGCCTTCATGGGCTGTGCGGGAAAGTTTCGGGGGTAGCCGTGTGTCTGTCCACCCTTGTTTCTAGGGTGTGTCTGTCCGCACGAAAGCTGCACTCTTTGCCGCCTCACCAACGACGCGACTCCTGCGACGGCCCTCCATGATCCCTCCTGTTCTTCTCAAGTAGCCGACACCGCCTTTAAAGCCCTCCAAGTACTCGATTGCAGCGCACTTCGCCCTCCCTCTGCCCGTGGACGCATCTGCTGCAGCTTCTGCTGCTATTTCCGAAGGAGCGCCCTCCAGCGAAAGCATAGAGATCCGCACAAGCCCCTCTGCCTGCTCCCCCGAGGCTCTTCGACACCACGCTAGCAGCACCAGTAGCAGCACAAAACGGCAGCAGCACCGGCGGCTCCTGCCCCTTCAGGTGTGTCGTCACCCGCGTTTCCTCCTCTTCAACGAGGAATTCGGCCCGCGAAACTCTCTGTCTCCCTCTCTCGCGCCGTGCCGATACTGCAGCTCCTGCCCCTGCAGGGCAGCGCATGCTTACAGCAAGTGAGCGCCGCTTTTCTAAGTCGCTCTTCCTCCTGAGCCCAGCTACGCACGCGACAGCGCGAGCGCTCCAGGCGCCATGCGCATGCACGGCCCACAACAAGAGGCTTCTCGGTGTGCTGCTGCTCTACTGGCGTGCTTGAAGCTGAGACGGCAGCGACAGGTGCTCTACCGAAGCGGTCCTTGTGCATGCTGCTAGTTGCACAGGCGAACCGCGCGCTGCTTGCTTGTAACTGCTGCGTTGCAGACCCTCCAAGGGTGCAGCATGGAAAGGACTCCCCGTGCAAAAACTGCCCTCATGCAACAGCATCCCCAGCAGATGTCGCAGAAGCCTGAGAGAGCAGAAGACCTACCCTGCGCCTCAAAACTCGTATGCGCCCCCCCTATTTCTGCCATTCGCCTTCTCTTGCAACTTTTTAAAGTGAGAATTCGCACGTGTACTGCCGTTCTTTCGGTGCTGCAGATGCATGCACCCTGCTGGGGCTGTGCCTGTGTGTGCTATCCCCGTTCAGACGGCTTATCTCCAGTGTCTGCGAGAGTTCGACTCTTCCCACATCCTACTTCCGGCCTCTCCCCATTTAGGAGTCTTACGTAGCATTCGCAGACAAGCAGCCGTTTACACGCACCTCCAGGAAGTCTTCGCCGCATTTCCATCCATGAAACTTGAGGATCTTTTGTGCTTGCAGATACCACGGGGCGTTGGAAAGGATGCTGCAAGACTGCGATGGTCTAAGGTGGACTTTTAGGTGATCTTGCGATGCTCTGAAGCAAAGGCTTGTGTTTGTTTTTCTTTCTGCTCGCTCGCTGCGATGTTGCGTGTTTGTCTGCCTGTCTGTCTGTCTGTGTATAGGCGTGTTTATGCGTGGGAAGCTCTCTTTCTGCATGCTCCTGCCCTCCTTCTCCACCGCCCTTCCCTATATATATATACATATGCTAGCTGCACTGCACTTCTGCAGGGCTGTTTCTCTCTCTCTCTTGCACGCGTCGCAGTCGTCTTCCTGTGCCTCTCGGCTTCGCTTGTTGCAGGCGCTGTCTTCGCCAAGAAATCAACCCCAGACAGGCGGCCTGAGGGTTATTTCCCTCTTTTCCGACTAAAGCAGGATAAACGACAGCAGCGGCAATGATTAGCGCGTACGGGCAGCCCAGCGTGCTCTCGCTGCCGCTCCCTCCCGCTAAGGAGCGAATCAGCCCACGTGCTTGCAGCACTCCCAGCAACAGCGGCAGGATAAGCATTGTAGTATCCGACATCCAAGTATCCCCCTGCGGCCTATACATTGCTGTGCTTTCTCCGTGGGGAGTCTTCGTTTACAGCAACGGGCAGTGCCGCATGCTTCTCGGCAGCTGCATGCTGCCTGTGGATTCGGAGGTCTACGGAAATCTGTGCTGCTGTTGCTGGGGTTCAGACTCTTCTGCCCTTTTCGTCAGTGCAGATCCTCTGGCGTGCATTTGCGTCTTCTCCATTGGCAGAGGTGGCAACGCGCTGCTGCAGCAGCAGCAGCAACAGCATCGTGGCGAAAGCGGCGCAAGCCGCAGCTACCCAGCCCCTCCCTCTCAGCGGTACGGGGACGAGGCACCGACAGCAGTCTCCGTGGCGGGAGGGGCAGGAGAGGACAGCTGGTTGCTCGAAGGGTTCGCTGCTGCAGCCACTCTGCACCACTCGGGGAGCTTGAGCTTCGGGGAAGGGCAGGATAGCGCGGCAGAAGAGGAGGAGCAGCAGCTGCTGCTGCAGCCAGCAGCCGCAGAAAACGCGACAACAGCGGAGCAAGCCATTAGGTCCATGCCTTCAATGATAACGGCCTATAGGTCTGCGCATACGGCTCCCGTGTCTGTGTCTTTCTGCTTGCTGTTGCGCTTGCCAGTGCGACCGTCTACCCTCTGTTGCCCGGTGTGGCAGAAGCAGCAGCAGCAGCTGCTGCTGGTGGGGTGCAGCAGGCAGCCCGCCCTCTTTTGGCTGCACTTAGGGGGCCTCACGCAGGTGCTGGGGTGTCTGTACACTACAGACCTTATCAGAGTCGTCCGACGTGCGGGTGTGTGCCCCGGAGCGGCAGGTGCCTCTGCAGCTGTAGTAGTCGCTGCTGCTGCTGCTGCGGGGGCTGCTGTAGCGACAGCTGCGGCGGTCCAAGCAGGATCTGCCGCTGCAGTCGTCGGTTTAGGGTGTCTGTGCAAAGGCTGCGGAGGTGGCTGCTCTTGTTGCTTCGACTTGGAGGGCATGCGTCTCCCCCGTGGAGGGCGAAACGGAAAAAATAGCACCAATAGCAGCAGTCGTAGCAGCGCACCTCCACCAGCAACCGCTGCAGCGACTCTGTCGTGCAAGCGTTGCAGATGCCGAGGTCGTCGGCTCCCACTGACTTACCTTTATCACCCCAAGGGGTATGCTTCGCTCTCTGAGCTGCTGCGACTCCCCGCATTCGCACAAGATGCACAGCTGCTCCCCGATTTGCCAGATGCCTGCCTCCTCGCAGCCGGCTCTAGAGACACCCTGAATCCAGCGTTGCGATGGCGTAGTGCCACAGTAAGTAGAGCCTCATCGCCAGCAACGGACGCGCAAGACGGCCGTTGCGGAGGCTGCGGCAGCACGCTCACCTGCAAGACTAACCCGAGACAGCAGAGGCGATGTGCGTTGAGCTCCAACTTTCGCCGGTCTGCATCATGCCTCCCGCCGAATGCAGAAAGCAGGCCTTCCCACTGCGCTCGGGGATCATTTAATTCTCCCTCTTGGCCAGTTGGCGGTAGCTGCAGTGCCGCAAGCGCCAGCAGCAACAGCAGCAGAGGAAACAGCAACAGCAGGCAAAGCAGCAACAGCAGCAGCAACAGCAGCAGCAAGCGCAGCAGTTCTTCCGGCAACAGCAGCCTGCTGGCTTCTTTCAGGCAGCCAGGGGCAGCCAGCAGGAGCTCTGGTGGGAGGGCCATGTGCAACGCAGCGGCGCTTCGCGCGGGAAGCGCATACAGCGGCACTGCCAGCAGCACGAGCAGCTGGGACGGGGAACAAGTTGTACTTGGACGCAGTAAAAAGTCTTCAAGGGGGCATTATTGGCTACTGCGGCATCAGAGGTCGCTGCAGCAGTCGCAGTCGCAGCAAACTCGCACGCGTGAGCCCCACCTGGTGCGCAGCCAGACCGCTGGATCCGTGTTGGAGAGCAGCTCGCCTTCTCTCCAGTATTCGCGCGGCATTCGCCAAATGCAGCTGGACTGCCGAATAGACATCCTGGCAGTCGTGACAGCCGTCGGTGAGCTCATGCTGCTGGCCTGGCGTTTTCCTCTGCGTGGAATAACCCGCAAGGCGCCTCCCGGTGAGCGCGAACTCGCTGAGGGAGACCTTCTTCCAAATACCGTGGTTCCTCAGCATGCCGTGCAGCAGGTGCCTGAGCAGCAGGAGCAGCAGCAGGAGCAGCAGCAGCAGCAGCAGGAGCAGCAGGAGCAGCAGCAGCAGCAGCAGGAGCAGCAGCAGCCTTCTCGGCAGGCTTCAGCTGCAGCCATGGCGGATCCAGCAGCAGCCTCAAGGTGTCAAAGCACGGGCGACGGGGAGAGCAGCAGCACGAGACACAGCCGCTGGAGAAACATCAGCATCGGCGCGGGTTTGAACGGTCGCGTTTGCATAGGGCACTCAGCCTCCGAGGCTCAGCCCCCTGAGTCTCGCGGCGCCTCAGCAAGCAAGAGCAGAACTGCCCCCAAAAGAAAGCCTCCGCATAGAAGGCCTCTAGGTCTGCTCTTGCGCGATCACGCTGTCTGCTGCTGCGCACTCACAGGCGAGCGCAGTCTGGTGGCTGTGGGGCTTAAAAGCGGAGAGGTCGAGATATACAGGCTGCTCTGGTCCAGGAACCCTGTACAGCGGCGTGCATGCACCAGGAGACACCAGCAGCGCATGCAAGAGCAGCAGCGACTGCCGAAGCCTGCCCATCGGAATGTCGAGCGAGACGGCTTCACGCTGCTGCCGCAGCTGCTGCATGTCCTCACGGCACCCGAGGACGTCAGCCGTGCAGCTGCAGCTGCAGCTGCAGCAGCACACGCAGCGGGAAATCCACCAGCTCCTGAACTCACGCTTCCTGCGGGTGCCCTCTATCAAGAGGCGCACAGTGTGCAGAGTTTGCAGTGGACAGCAGACGGCGCGGCCTTAGCAGTGCGGTGGGTTAAAGGGGGTGCTGCCGTCTACAGTCATTTAGGGGACCTTCTCTTTTCCCTCGCAGATCCTCTTGAGGCTGCGGCATGGAAGGGAGCAGCAGCAGCACCCGCCGTCGCCGACTCGTGCACCGCAAATTCCGCCAACTTGCAGGAGCAGCTGCAGCAGCAGCACCCTCCGAGCAGCAGCTCTGCATTTTCCTTCCTGCCGCGCTTCCATCCGGGAGAAGTACTGCGTGCAGGCGCAGCACCGGCAAAAGCTGCAGCCGCTGCTACAGGGGCAGCTGAAGGTGCCGGGCAGTTATGCAGTTGGGTGATGGGGGACCTTTCTCTGCTTCACGTTATGTGTTTGTCCTATGAAACCAGTCACCAGGCGCAGTATGAGTCCAGCAGCAGCAGCAGCAGCAGTAGCAGCAGCAGCAGCAGCAGTAGCAGCAGCAGCACTGGCACTAGTCCCAAGGGCTGCGACGCGGCGTTGCCTGCGGATGCTGCTGCCGAGGATGATGCCACCCTTAGATCTCCTCCAGAACAGCTGGTAGAGGTATCCATCGTGAGGAGCGCGTCTGTCGCTGCTGCAGCCTCGGCTGTTGACGTGAGTGGCAGCCGGTGCTCATCAGATCTTACCAGCAGGTGCGTCCGTGGGAAGGTGTCACGCGAGGGATGCCTCTTAGCCGCATTTTTAGCGCTCTTCGCCGGCAGTGCAGAGAGCGCACGCTTGCAGTATTTCTTTCAAAGCGCTGAGCTGCTAGCCTTTTTTGACCGTCTTCTCTGCGCCGCCGTTCATAGTCCCCCACTTTTTGACCCCTGCTGATTCCACCGTGCCTGTGTGTTCAGGGTGCTTCTTGGCGGCTCGCATTTGTTGGTGTGGAGCTTTCTAGGCGCAGGGCGTCCTGCTGCTTCCCTCTCGCTGATCCCGCTGCCGCCCTGTCTGTACACTGCGAAGGCCTTCCCCTTACGGCAGGCAGCCCTCTCCCCTGACGGCGCGCAGCTGCTGGTGGCTGGCAGTCGAGGCGTTGCTCTTTTCGCGCTGTTGCAGAGGCGTTGGAGGCTGCTCTGTAGCGAGCGGCAGGAGGCTCAGTTGCCAACGGGCCTTCTTCCTCTTGGGTGGTACACAAACGACATCTTCTTCGCAACGACTTCCGCGTCAATCCCGCTGGGGGGTGCACCACCGGCGGCTGCTGCAGCTCCCGAGCCACGCAGCCTCCTTGGGGCCACTGATGCCTCTCCCCGCTGGCTGCTACCTTTGCACATCCATCGCGGGGTGGAGGCTGCCGTCGCTGCTGCAGTAGAAAGCTGCCCGTCGCGTTTCGCTGACCATATCCCCTTCGCTATACACGAGCAAACGGCGTGGCTGCAGCTGCAGCACCTGCACCTGCAGCACCCGCAGCAGTCCTCACTCATGTGGGGAGCGGCTGCGGACTCCAGGATCAGCTCCTCAAGACTTGGTGCAAGTTTTTCTTCAGGAACGACTGCGCGAGAGACGAGGATTGGCAGCGGCACCCACAATATGAGACACTACGCGATGGTGTGGCTCAGCTCTAGCGAGCGACTGGACTTGCGCTGCCGCGTTGCCGAGATTACCCGCCTCCCCGCTAGACCCCAAATAACCACAGTGTTGCCACCCCCGCAGCACCAGCGCTTGCTGAGACCTACAACGCCTCGCGGATTTCGCTGCTGCCTCTGCGAAAGAAACGACAGAGGCAGCTGTAGCGGCAGCGGCTGCTGCTGCTGCGTCGTCTGCAGCGGCGCAGCGGCCTGCGCCTTGCAGTGCTTCTATGCGGGAGACGCCAGCAAGCCCGTTTTGGCAGTTTTCGATGCTTTGCGACTTCTTACGGCGTACCAGCTGCAGCCACCGTGCCATGAGCGCAGACGACACCAGCAGTACGATGTGGCGGCTCTCTGGCAACTGGATCTCTCAGATTTTTGCGACAGGCCGCCGCAGCAAATCCGCTTTGTAGGCTGCGTGTGGTTGCTGCTCCTGCTTCTGCAGTCGGGAGATCTGCTGCTGCTGCGTCTGGGTGCCCCTGGGAAGGCCGTGCATACGCAGCCGCAACAGAGGAGCTACCGCATTCCGCGGCTCGCTGTGGAGGCTGCCACGCTGCTGGCACAGGGCGTCACAGGTCTGTGGAGCGGTGCAGAAGCTCAAATGCGTGAGCACTACGTGTTACCGTCCGCGCATGTTCGCGTGCTTCGCTCACGGAAGCTTCAAGAGGAGCGCGATACGGGATGCAGAAGAGAGCTCCTACCTGCGTGTTGTTGCTGCACCTGCACGGCACCTGTGGGGCTTTCTTCTCAACCGCCTGGACCGTCGGAACATGGAGAGCAGGAGCTGCAGCAGCCGGCCGTTGTGACTGCAGCATTTGGATCCTCGGGTGAGAAGGGAATCTCCGTTCTCCGCGATAACCGCAGCGGCCTGCATGGAGCAGGCGTTGCGCATATTCCTGCGGAACGTGCGAGTGGAGCAAAAAACACGAGCAGCCGAGAGAGCAGCAACCCATTCAGCAGGAGCTCATCAGGGGGGGACGATGCAACTGAAGGCGGCCTTGCTAACTTTCCTTTCAGGTGGTCTGCACCAGGAGACGGGTTATGTGGAAAACGTCTTTCATCTGCGCATGGCGCATCGAATTCAAACTTCTTCCGCAACGCGGACTCAATCGACAGTACTGGGGGGGCTGCTGCTGATGCTGCTTCCTCCGCTGCTCTGTGGTGCATGGCCTCTGGAGGCGCACCGACGATCGTGAAGCGGCAGACGTTCCAAGGCTTCGTTGATTTCCCTCGTCCTGCTGCGGCGATGCCGCTCTTCCCCACAAGCACGGTTCACGCCAGCAGTCCTGAGTTGCAGCAGCAGCAGCTGCATCGCACACACGAGCAGCGCAGGCACTTGATGCGGGAACGCTACGCTCCCCTATCGCTCCCGGCTCTAGCGGCAGAGCGGCCTCGAAGGGGCACTGCTGTCTCTCCAAAGCCTTGCAAAGCCTCTAAAAAGGTGTCAGAAGAGCTGGAAGACTCGGCAGCAGCAACAGGGCAGCAGCTGCGGCGTCGGTGGCAGACTTTCTGGGCAGCAGGTCGAAGCCGGCTGTCGAGACAGCCTGAAAAGCAGCGCAGCAGTGCCACCAGGTGAGCTGTTCTTTTATCATGCATGAACGTTGCAGCACCTGGTGCACGCATAGTCTATTGACACAGTACTGGCACGCACTGCTCGCCGCAGCGAGGGCTGCACTCGAGCCGCGTCTCTTCAAGAGGCATGTCGGTGGAGCCTGCCGCTCGTTTCTTCTTGGACCAGGCTTCCTGAGGCACGACGTCGTGAGCGCGCCGCGTAGCTAAGAGTGCGGACATGCGTGGCAACGCAACCTGTCCTTTTTCGTGCAGCCTGGAGGCTTACACGCGTGGTGCCTGTTGTACCCTCCCATCGCCCCCAGCAGACTACGGAGGAGGAACTGCAGCAGTGGCGGCTGCGCCTACTTTGAGTTCCCAAGCAGAACCAGGAGGCAGAACGTTGGAGCGGCGAACAAGTGTCACAGAAGCCCCCCTCTTCCGCTCGGAGTGTCACAGCTCTGCGGGCGTTCCGGAGTCGTCAGCTCCTCCGTTTAACGACCCCATGGTGTCTGCACAGCCGCGGGAAGCCAGGACTGATGGTAGGACGCTCCTGGTTCTGCTACCCTTAGCGTCCTTTTGGCGCTATTCAATATCTCGTGGTGCCACGTGCCTTGCGATTTTTTGTGATGCTGTGTTGCTAGTGCTTTGCTGCTCCTGCTTTGCGTTTGCCGCGGGTTACCGCTGCTGCCTCGGTACAATAAGAGGATTTCACAGAATGGATGCGCAGGGATTGGAGGAAAAGGATACCGTTTCTTGCGTGGGAACTGTCCTGCAGGATGCGACTTCTGCTGCTGCTGCATGGCTGGCTGGGCTATTTGGGCTCAAAGCACTGCAGGGCTGATGCTCACCTCCGTCACTTTCCACTACTCGGGAACCTCCACAGCGGCTCTGGCTAACCACACACCCGAACAGCTTGTGGAAGCAACCGATGTGCGCCTGCGCTCCGCTTTGGTGCTGCTCGTGGAAAAGAGGCCCCAGCCACTCCATATCCTCGGCATCATAGGAGAAGTCCGCACTGAATGCGTCTCTTTACCGCTCTACCCCCGCATGATTCACCGCCACCCCTGCTGCAATAGGCTGCTAAATACGCCCTCCTTTGTAGACTTTTTGCAGTGCGCCGCTGCGTGCGTGTCATACGCTTTGTATACTGAGCACCAGCGCAGCTACTTTCCAGAGACCTCCTTGTGCCGGTAAGCGATTGAATCGCCGCTGTACCCGCTAAGACAGCTGTGGCGTTTGCTGCATCGTGTGCGCCTTTCAGATGGGAGTAGCTGTCGCCTGCTCCCCAAGCCGCGACGCTGCCCTCGGCGTTCCCCTGCAAACTGGACCGGTCATGCAGCTGCGGCTGCTGCTGCAGCCTTGCATGCATGCGCTCCTGCAGCGGCTGCTGCTAGCTGCTGCTGCGCGCATCCCCCTCTACTCACAGGCATCCTTGGGCTGCCTGGAGGACTGCGAAAATAGGACGGAACGCTCCACGCGAAGTTTGGAGTGCAGTGGCAGCAACTCGCACAGAAACACTTGCGTTAACAGGCTCCTTGAGTCTATCTCAGACCTTGTAGACGAATTCCAGTCATCTCCGCTCGCGCCGCATTTGTTGGAGCTGTGTCAGGTCGGCCTGCTGATGCGGTGTATCTCCACCTATTCGAAGGCAGGAAAGGCACACCGGATGCAACTGCGCGCCCAGGAGACCACGGAGCAGCAGCCTGAGATCCATTCACCACCTGCATCTGCCTCGACATCAAGCCCCAGTGTTTTGCACGCGTCTACCCTCGAAAAGTCCACTGGGAATGAGCGTGTTGTTGCTGCAGCAGCAGCAGCGCTCATGAAGTCCCCAGAGGGCATCGCTCTTCTGTGGCTGCTGCGAACACTACAGCAGCAGTCTCCCCAGTTGTTTCTTGCTACGGTTGTCTCCTGCATGCGAAAGACAGAGCCCCTTGTTTCTCCTGCAGTACTCGGCTCGCTACTCCAGCAACAACTGCCACCCGCCGACCCCGTGGCACTCTTCACCAAGTCCCTCAACAGCGGACTCTTGCATACCGCTTCGCTGTATTTGCTACCAATTCAGGCGACGGAAGGACCTCTAGAGGTGCTGTTGCTGCTGCATGGTGCCATCCAGTTGTTTGTTGCTTTAAGCTTTTGTAACACCACACCGTTCCCCTTCGAGTCTCTTCTCTAAATGGATCGATTCAATCTACTACTGTCTATCATGTAGCCTAACATATGCAACTGCTAGTTCTTCGTTTCTGGAATGCTGCGGTTACACGTTTCAGGTGCGATGTCGCCGCGTACTGCCGCTTCTCCGTGCTGCGCTGGCCGTTGGTGACTTTCACCTGGTCCGCAAGCTGCTACATTTCTTCTGGGCCTTTTTTACACATAGACGCCACCCTGAACCTGTGGGCACACTGCGCAGCATTGGTGACCAACATCATTGGGAGAGCTCAGCGCTCAAGTCCGCCTCAGACATGGCGTCTCAACGAGCACCCAAGGCCGAGCGGGCAATTAGCCAGCAGAAAGCAAAGCAGCAACGAAGGCTTCAAGAGAGAAACCGGCAGCGTGAAGAGTTGCAGTCGTTACTTTGGCGGCCCTTAAACGGGGGCGTCCACCTGAGCGGTGATGCTACTTTCGCTCATCCTGCAGTGAACGAAGGAAATGGGCTTTTTGCCATGACTTTGGGAGAGCCCTGTCTGTCATGCGTCCCTTTAGAGTTGGCGGCTGAAGATCGCCTACTGGCAGCACGAATATATCAGGAAGTAGAGAATGCGGTTGCCGTCGCTGCTCAAACACTCTTTCGACAGCAGCAGTGGCTTCGGTTGTTCGAATTTGCGACGATTCTGGCCCTTGACCTTCCGTCTTGGCTGCGAGATCACCGGAGCAGCACTCTGTGGCATCCTACCCGCCCCCCGCACCAGCAGGATACAAATGCTCGTCTTGTGTGTGTAACCGCGGTACCTGACACAGCCAGTCCGACAAGAGCAGCAAAGGAAGCTGCAGGGGTGTTGCCGCGTGACTTTTTTGCAGCGGTCTCTTCCTTTGCTCAGCAGTTCCCTGTTGGCGAGAAACCAATTTTCCTGCATTTGCATCGGCCTAGAAGGCAGAAGAGCTCCACGCTGCGCGTACAAAGGCAAGCACAACAACATCCACAAGTGCACGTGGCACGGATGCCGACAGAAGCGGCACCCGTACCAGAGATGCAGTCGGCTGTGGTGCCAGTATCTACTGTTTTACAAGCGCATTCGTTTTGCACAAGTGGAAACATGCAATACCATTCTGCAGCTCAGATAGCCCGGTATCTGGGTAACGTGTTGCTGCTTGCCGGACACCCCATGTATGCACTGGCTCTGGCCGCTGCAGTACGAGACATGCAAGCAGCAACGCACCTACTTGGATGGTTTCCTGAGATGCGCTACTGGGTTTCGGAAGCAGCTACTGGTAGAGCATTGGATGGCTCATCCGAGGACCGAGTGATGCTCTGGCTATCCCGTGCAGCCACAAGCGGCACCAGTCCTCTCGAATACAGAAATGCAAATTAGACAAAGCATCTGCAATCGGGGTGTACATCCCTCGGCTTTCGAGGCTGGGTAGCTGCTTTTGCTTCCCCGGGCGTATTTTTCGGGGAAGATAAATTCGGAATGATAAGATTAGGTGCTGTTGGTAAACTTTCTGCCGCAACTGGGAGCCTTGTGGCTACAGGGCTTCCATTACGTATGTTTTTTACAATTGTTGCCTTTCTTCTGCGATTAGGGAGCACCCCGCCTGCTACTGCTGGTGAATACGTGGTATGTGGCCCAATCAGCTTTTTAGGGGGTTGCAGACATACATGCAGCAGTTGTTGATGCATTTGATGATGCCTAAAATACAAAGCCACAACGCAGACGCATTACCAGACGGGGGCACACCGTATTCCATGGTACATGAGAAGAATCAGATGCTAGCCACTGCGACTCCTCGCCAGGGTTTGACCACTGAGAATAGTCAAAATATTGGCAACTTCATGCCAGTACCCCAAAAAGTGGACATGAACCGTGGGTACAACTTGGTTGGTTGCCCTGGTTGTAGTTGATTACGTGTAGCTCCACAAGCATATGCTTTGTCAGCTTACAGGCTCTTTGCTTTGTGGCATCCAGGGATTTCATTCATATGCCTACAGTGCCGCGAAAGTGTGAGCTGCATGTTTAGCTGTCTTTAGTCATAAAACCTCATGATGCCACCTAGTTGGTACGGTAGTTCCCATCCCCGGTGCGTGTTCAGTGCCGGTAGGCTATTTTCCAGAAGACGAGTAGTACAGAGCAGTACTCTGTGAATATTTGGAAAATCATTGCTGTCGAAAGACGGTATTCTCTGATGATAATCTGACGAACTAGGATTTAAGCAGCGTCTAAAGATTAGCAAAGCAATTGTCTGTCGACAAGTGTTTATCCAAAAGGCTCATGATGTATGTGCTTTTTCCCAAACGGACTGCGACAGGGATGTTATGCAACGACAGTACGGCGCACGGCAACCCATCGACTCTAGAGACCTAACAGCGACGTGCCCCAACTTGGAGTGAGGTGGGTAATTGACGTACTACTGAGCCACACGCACGGTGATATGCTGAAACCGCCAGCTTTAGTGAAGGATGGCTCAACATGCGTCGACGACTTCTTTGGCATTGCTTTGTGCAGCCGTCCCAATCGACCGAAAAATCGATACCTCAACAAATTTTGCATGCAGCTAAATCATGAAAATACCATTTTCATCGTGTTCAATACTTGAAATTCTTGTCTCCTTACTTTCATCAAGTGAACAGTTTAGAGTGTGGCGATAGTTGCATGAATCAAAATCTTTTATTGTACTGTCGTACAAGTTCATCACCGCAGTCCTGCAATGAGCTGAAAATAAGTTTATTGCGTAGCTCTTAATGTAAGCATTATGCGAAGCACATGCGGCCTCTTAGGGAAGCGATGTTAAAAGAGCATCCTGCATGCCAATGAGATACATACCGAATAGTCTTCTAGCAGCATGAATCCTCATTTCCGGATAACAAGCGACCGCATGCCCAATAGTGGAACATGAACAAAATATGATAATCCGACTATTTTGACCCTACGCTGATCAATATGCAACAACGAATTCCGAGCATATAGTACTGCAATCTTCACCTGCTCATGCAATCTCTTCGGCAGGCGATCCGCGATTCGCATTCCCCAAAGCCAAATCAGTGTTGGATAGTACTGGCACTCTACTGCATTTAGGGTGTAGAGAATTGTGTCGTCCCACCAAAACACCTTATCAAGGTGATGTACAATTGAACTTCCTACGTTAGTGCATTGGAGGTCATATAGCAGGGCTGCGCGCGTTGATTTTCTCGTCGTAAACAGTTTTTTGGCCACAATTATATGATCAGTGTGTAGTGGGTACTCTTCCGCAGACAGTATGGGGCAGAACCTCGGTGTCCAACAGCAACTAACCTAGAAAGGGACGAAACCACTGGTACACTGAAAATACACTGGAAATGTACCCTTTCCGGGCTTTAGACATCATCTTTATGCAACGTTGGTTTATTTCGTAGGAGCTCCCATTCGCTGCGACATGGAGCGAACATGTAACCCACCCTTCCATCCGAATCCCGGGTCATTGGGTGTCTCATCAGGCACTTTGAACGGATGCTAAAGTGAAAAGAAGCACTACTCCTGTGTGAGGAGTGTGTTGTGTGTAAGGCATGCAATGTGCTTTGGATGGAAACGTAAGCTGGATAGCTTTCAGGGCTCGACAACGTTTTAGTGCTTCCTATTCTCATACTGGGAGGCCCAGCACTGCAAAAGCCGGACTAGAGAAACTAGAAAAATTACAACGCCAGCTTTGGATCCTTCTAGGAGAAAGGCCCACAATTAAGAAAAAAAAGCAAACAATTTTGAGCCACAAGAAACTAGCATGCATTCTAAATTCTAGTTATAACACATTTTGATCAAATGGTAATTGCCTGTAGATTCACGTATCCTAATGAGGGGTCCAGACTTGCTGTCAAGAAAGTCTGACGTTAATTAAAGCTTCTTGTTTTTGCAGCCAGATTCCTCCTTAAGCCCTTCACTGGGGGCAAGTCTTTATTTGTATCCAATCTAAATCATCCTATGATTTTGACAGATTTCTAGCAGTATACAAGGTAAGGCTGATTTGCCCCAATGATGGGTCTTACTAGAGAACCACTCTTTCATCAGCGAAACAAGCACCACTGCAGGGGAAATTAGGAATAATGCTGCCTTTATTTGCGAGAGTATGTCTCTCAATCGCGGGTAGGTTCTGTCTGCGGCAAGAATATGCAAGATTTACCTCAGAATGCAGCTTCACCCAACTGAAGAAAAGTGGATGAATCTCCTGGTGCATGGTTATTTTTTAAGACTTTCGGGTTTGCCATCGTTTGCCTTTGTTGGTTGATTGAAAAGCTAATTTTACTTGCCTTGAACTTATCAAAGCGGCTTTGCATGCCAAGACGTGGGGAACAGATGAATGGACTGCCAGGAACTCTACCCCATCGGATCTAATAGATCTCTGTTCTAGAACACCTTTTATTAGGACAGCGATAGCGATCATGCATGCGCTCACAAGCAAGTAAGCTTTGCCGGCAGGTGAGGGAAGGTGCTCACACTACCCGAAACAAGAGTTGGCACAGCACACTGCAACACTTTCCGCTGGGATCGAGACTCTCCCCCACCAAAAAAGCATCTTCCGTGTATTGCACTGGATTTCTACGATTGGTACTCTTCCTCCTGGTACAGAAAGGAGAGGCGAGTTCGCAGGGTGGCGCAGAACGCTTTAGGACTTGTGCGCAATCGCGTGCAAGCTCTTAGCTGGTGCACTCGATCTCGACCCAAAGCCTACGCCTAGTTAGCGCTCTTTAAGTTAGCTATGCTGTTTGTGTGCTTCTATCATGGCTTGCCAGGATAGAATCTGCAAATATCAAGACTGCTGCAGCCATGCGGCATCTGGATACGTCGCTTCTCATGACCACCAGGCGTATACGCAGAGCGGACGAATTGAATACTGCCATTCGTTGAACACCATTTGTAGAAATCGCAAAGAACCATGAAGCATGCACTATATGGGTGAAGGCTGCGAGTTCCAAGTTTTTGTTTCGACCACAATGTGCAGCGAAGTTCAGACTTAATCACCTGCCTGTTCTGCATTTTAATTCCTGTGAATCAGGGTTTGCTTCCAATCTAGGATTGACCATTTGACCTCTATGCGCTGAGCTACTATGCGCTAAGCTACTATGCGCTACTGTGTACGATGCTCGTTGAGGTCGGAGAGTACGGCAACGCGTATCTTAGCTTTCTTCTACCAGTTGGCCAGATCCTCGTGAATCAGGGCAGTTATGGACGGATTCCCTGAATGGATTCCTCAGTGACTTTGTTTTGTTACGAAATATGGCTTAGGCACTAAGGATCTCCATGTGGAAGTCATAGGATGGGCTTTTACGCATGCCTTCTCCAGTGGCACATAGCATGCCTTGTTGTCCAGTGTACCTAATTCCTTTTGTGCAGCAGCTTTGCATGTATGCAGAAGAGTTAGACCATAGAGTCAGTAATGCGCTATATCATTTTGCAGATGTTGTATCCTAACTAAGAACGCTGAAGGCTTGCTTGGCCATCTGCGCCAAGCACTCTGACCTGATTTCCTCAGAAGAATATGCTTATCAGGTTAGGTAAACTTACTTTGTAGGTAACTATTTGCCTACAAATATTTCGTAAGGGGACATTATAAGACTTTGTATCGCTTTTAGATTGGCAGCCAGTCGTTCCTGCATCAAGGGTTCAGTTGCATATTTTGACCCTTAAATTGTTGTCTCAGGAATTTTGATTGCTTTTATCTACTCACCAACAGACGCTCATATGATACACCGGCAGAAGATCCTACACAGCGATGCGGGGGAACACAGGATTTATGTATAGGTGGTAATTCTCATCGCAATCACTAGCCTGCAGTCCTGCTATTCTATTCCCTTTAGCCGAAAAACAACCTGACAAGGAATGAATGATAGTAATTTCACAGGATCCGTTGCGTTTCTTCATAACCCTTAAGTCTGCTAAGGAATGCTCTACTGCACTTTTTTCGTATGTAGAACACTTGAATATTGAGTCATGCAACAGACAAGTGTACTTACAGAGCGTAGGGCTCTAAGTGACCTGAATTCTGGCTATTCAATTCCTTTCAACTAGAAATAAGCTCAAAAGGAATAAATGAGAGCTATTTTACAGGTTCCGTTGCCTTGAATTAACTCGTAGTTCTTCAGCCCTACACTAACCGTGGGCTACACTTGATCCGCCCGGGGACACCTGGGCCAAGGAGTCAATCTGACCGCAAAATCGCCTCCTATCTTGATAATTGACAAAATCAGCGGCACAACACTTCATGTAACATTTTGATGCTACTACAGACTGCTATCGTGATGACTATAGGACTTCTTTTTTGAGTATACCGCGGCTGTTGAAGTTGACATGACAGCGCTTTCTAAACCAGGCTGCCCGATTGGATAAAACACACATCCTCAGGCATT